TCTTTCCCTTCAGTATATAAATGTGTTATTTCTCCATCTTAAGTAAGTAAAACCAAACAAAACTACTCTTTGAGCTCTACCTTCCAGTTGCTAATCAATTTCTCTTACCTATGTAATAAAACACATCCACACAGTTGTTTACACTTCAAATTTGTGAGTTATCTTCTCCTTCTTTTGAGAGAAGTCTAACCTGTTTTTTCCCCTTCACCACTTGACTTAACTGCCCTTCCAAGTGCACTAACAACTCTGGCTGCTATGTTAAGAAAAGACAATCTTCTGAATACATTTGTAATATGACTACTTTTCATCATCATCTATGTTATCACCAGACCCATGCCACCCTTATCATTTGCCCAGATGATTGAAATAGCCTTCTAACTCTTTTCATCCTTGCCACTATTCACATTACCCTCAACCCAGAAATCAGAATGAACCCGGTAATAAACGATATGCCAAGTCTTGTCATTCCACCACCCAAATGTTTTTCATCTCATAAAGAGTAAAAGTTAAATCCTTACAATGGCCTGTAATGCTGCCTTTGACCTCTTTGACCCCATCTCCCATTACTGCCTCCCTTACTTTCTTTGCTACTCCATACTGGCCTCCCTAGTTGTTCCTTGAAGATTCTTGTCACGTTCCTGCCTTGGGGCCTTTGCGTTTGCTGATTCCTCTGTCTTGAATGCTCTTTTTGCATGGCTTGCTCTTGCTCCCTCCTTCAGGTCTTCATGAAGATACCACCTTCTCAATGAGGCCTTTCTTAACCACCCTTCTTAAAATGGACCCCTCTCATTTCTTATCTCCCTTTTACGCTTACATTTTCTCCATAGCACCCATCATCATCTAACATCCTGCACATTTTACTTATTTGTCATATTTATTGACTGTCTCTCACCAGGAAGCTCCATGAAAGCAGGGAATTTTGTTGTCTTGTCTGTTTTGTTCATAGCTCTGCCCCCATTGCCTTAAATAGTGTCTGGTATCTATATATATTTCTTGAATAAATGAATGAGTGAATGAGTTCATTTGGAAAAATGGGCAAAAGATATCAATAGATAATGAATGACCAATAAAAATAGGAAAAGATGATAAAGCTCATGAATAACTGGAGAAATGCAAATTAAAACCACAATAAAATTCAGTTGATATTTCACATCCCCAGTCTGATAATACCAAGTGTTCTGAAAGGTGGGAAACAACAGGAACTCCTTTCACTATTAATGGGAGTATATGTTGGTGTATCAACTTTGGAGGACAATTTGGTCATAGAGATGATACCTCTCATCTACATGCTGTTCCTTTTGCAAATACACTATGACCATTCCTAGGCATTCCTAGAGAATCTCTTGCACTTTTATAGAAGAGGCCCTTGCAGCAGTGTTTAAAGCAGCATTGTTTTCAATAGCAAAATCTTGGAAGCAATTTTATTAAGTCCCCGTTAATAGGAAAATGTTGTATTTATATAATGGAATGCTATATAGTCAGGAAAATGAGTTTTCTAGGGGTACAAATCAACATGTATAAAACTCCACAACAAATTGTTGGTGAAAAAAACAGGTTGCAAAAGAATACATACAGAATATGTATTTACAGACAGTTTTAAACATGAAAAATAATGACATGTTACCTAAGAATTCAAAAATAAGTAGTAAAATATGTATAAGGGAATGTGTGAGAATAATCAAGATAGTAGTGGGTGAAGAAGGGAGATGGGATTGGCATACATTTTGATTGTTTAGTAATTTTATGTAAATTGATAATGGATATAGAAGAGCTTATTGTATTTTTTTTACTTTTTGTATTAAATATGTCATAATATAATTTTTAAAAAATTAATCAAAAGACTGATTTAAACTGACTTAATACATATTTTTGTTTATCCAAAAAGCTATGACATGAAAGCAGCCATGGGTATGCCTGCCGCAGCCAAGCGAGGTGTTGCCCAAGTCACTGAGAGACCTTTATTTTTCTTTTTAACTCTCCTTACTGTTACATGTCTTTCTCTTTAAACAAGAAAAACAGCAGAAAAGAAATTTTATTGCTTTGAATTTTACAGTGGTACTTTCATAATATTTTTTATGAACCAGGGGGAGGATTGATTGGAAGAAAAGGCTACGTAGGCACACCAGGGAAAAATGACACAATGATGTGTGCAGTATATGGATGGACTGAAGAGATGGCTTTTTCTGGAACATCCACAGGAGACGTGTGTATCTGGAGAGACATCTTTCTTGTAAAGACAGTTAAAGCACATGATGGACCAGTGTTCAGTATGCATGCATTGGAAAAAGTAAGTAACCTAAATAAATTTTAAGTTAAACATAGTTTGATCATGGAGTGCAGAACATTTTCACAAGTACAGGGACACTACCTTTCTACTTAGCTGAGCTACCCAATAATAATATGTGAGCTAGAGTCTTCCTGACTGTATTTTATTCCTCTTTTCAAACTCCTGAACCCAGAGTGAAATAGGTCTGCTGTTATTAAAAAAAAAAAAAAAAAGTTTAACTTAGTATTTATTAATCTTTTACTCTGAGTCAAAAATTGTTTAGGTACTTTATATGTTATCACCATATCCTGTGAGGTAGCTATCATTATTTTTTTAAAATAAATTTATTTGTTTTATTTGTTTATTTTTGGCTGTGTTGGGTGTTTGTTGCTGCGTGCGGGCTTTCTCTAGTTGTGGCGAGCGGGGGCTACTCTTCGTTGCAGTGTGCAGGCTTCTTATTGACGTGGCTTCTCTTGTTGCAGAGCACGGACTCTAGGCACGTGGGCTTCAGTAGTTGCAGCACGCAGGCTCAGTAGTTGTGGCTCACGGGCTCTGGAGCACAGGCTCAGTAGTTGGGGCACATGGGCTTAGTTGCTCCACAGCATGTGGGATCTTCCCAGACCAGGGCTCAAACCCATGTCGCCTGCATTGGCAGGCAGATTCTTAACCACTGAGCCACCAGGGAAGTCCCGTAGCTATTATTATTATCCCCTCTTTTTAAAGGATGGGATTATGAAGCCTCCAGGAGAAGGTGCTGAAAGTGGTAGAGCTACTTTATGGTTCCAGATTGCAAACTGTGTTTTTAAAGTCCTATTCTAAAAGTAGAATGTTTCGTGTCACGGTAAATATTTTTGCAAATTCCATGTTGATGTTTAAAAAAACATAATGGATTCTATGCTAATTTCTGTTTTTTACAAGCTGTAACTTTTGGCTATAAATATTCTTTCCTCCAGCGTTTTTCAATATAAAAGAAGGTTATTATTTTTTAAATATTTAGATCTTCATTAACTTAAAACTTTTACTTTTGTAGGGATTCGTAACTGGAGGGAAAGATGGGGTAGTAGCTCTTTGGGATGACTCCTTTGAAAGATGTCTCAAGACCTATGCTATAAAAAGAGCTGCTTTGGCCCCAGGATCTAAAGGTGATTTGAGATTTTGAGATTTGTAGGAAAAAAGATTAATTGCTTATTAACATGGTGGGCACTGAGGTGGAGCACGTGGGGTATATTTTTCCTTCTTTACTAGACAGGCATCAGAGTTCAGTAAGAGAAGCCACTTAATTGGATGCCAGAATCATTGCTGTCCTTTCAAAATCTATTTTCAGCGATACACATAGTAATATATAAAGAAATACAAGATTATCAATGTTAATTTTTAACATTTTTAATTTTTCAAAGAAAATCGCCATGTGAGTGTCACATTTGCCACCAGTCAGGGTATTGTTTTCAAACTTGGCCTTTTGTTTCATCTTAGTGTTTTGTTGACTCTCCCTCTCTGGCCTTGCAGGCCCTTCTTCCTTTACCCTTTCTCATGGTGCGTTAAGGCACTACAGCACTCTGTCTCTGGCCTCCAGGCCTTCCTGTATGCTGTCACTTTTGCCTAGAATTTCCCCTTTCTCCTCTCTCCTGCTTCCTCCAGTTACTTGACCATATGCTCATTTTTCAGATCTCAAACACTGTTTCTTCTAGAATGATTCCTTACACTCCCATCCCCTCTCCCCCTCACAAAAGGTTAAATTCCCTTTTGTTCCATTTTCAATATGCTCCTCACACAAGGTCTGTTTTCCTCTCTGTATGCTCTGTGAGGGCAGAAGCTTGGCTCTATCACGTTTACCAGTATATCTCTGAAGTCTGCCTAGGGTACAGTAAACATAAATGAATTAATCTTAAATCAAATTGAATTAAAATTACTAACCAGAATATTGTACATGCTCTAAGAGGGTCAGGAGGTGGATGAGGGGCAAGTGTAAAAGGAAAATAAACAGTTGTCAGACTGGTAGTAGGGGATCTGGAATAATATAGAATCATGGAATTGTAGCATATAAATGGTACTTACTTTTGAGATTAGTAAATTGAATGATTGGGGAAAATGTGGTACATTTATTAGAATACTTAAAATATAGGAGAAAGCAACCGTGTAACATGATTTGCATTGTCAAAATAGCATCATTGGCAATATATACACCCTTGTATTATAGTAACTTCATACCAAGAAGAATATCTCCGTTTAACATTTTAGGTCTTCTCTTGGAAGATAACCCATCTATACGTGCCATATCATTAGGACATGGTCATCTTTTAGTTGGTACAAAGAATGGTGAAATACTAGAAGTGGATAAAAGTGGCCCAATAACACTTCTGGTCCAGGTAATTTTAAATGTTAATATGGTTTCTTTTCCCTTTGTATACAGTTGATTGAGTACATAAGAGCCAGAAGTTGGCAGTCGTGAAAAATAATGTTAAATTATTTAGGGAAATATTTGTTAATGTTAATATTTACAAAACATAAACTTAATCATAGTTAAATGAGTAGTATCTAAATAATATGCACATTATCATGTAGAATAATTGCCAATATTTTCAGTAATTTCTTATTGCAAAGCAAGAAACCAATGGAAAGAAAAGCCAGTTGTAATTAATTTAACCCAGTCCATTTATTTCATATTTAATTTTATTTCTTTGAAGTACATTTGTTGACCCTAAGGCAGTTGTTTTTCTATGAAACTCTTCAGTTTAGTTCATTCTTTCTCAAGTTTCTAACTTAGAAAAGTAAAAACTGAATGTATGCTAAAATTTTACTGCTGAAAACATTTATCCATGAAAATATGTTAGTGATTTTGAGAATCCAGAAGTACAGACTTTGTGTGGCAGAAATATAACATAAAACAGCAGGATTAGCTAATCCTTAACATTTCCATCAGGAATGCTGTCTTAATTTTTCAGGTTTACATTTCCTATGTATATTATGGTTTTTGATACTGTAAAACACAGCAAGTGAGGTAGTATTTACTCTAATGAAAAGCTGTCCTCATGCAACTCTGTATAGTAACACATTTTGGGTTTGCCTTTTACCCTGAAAAAGAATTATGTTCTTTCTTAATACAGACTGATTTCTTCTCCAACCCCCACTTCACTCCTGTTAAGACACCAAAGAGCACATGTAGATGAGAACATTGCACATGCTTTAAGGTTAACATAATATCCTGATGTAACAAGGAGAATTTGTAAGCAAATAACAAAACATTTTATATTAAATTAACTGTCAAACTTTCATGTCTTACTCTTTAATTTCAGTCACATGATATTCCTTTAAAATAAAAAGATGTTAGAGTCATGGTGTTTAATGTATTTATGGTCTCTTGGAAAATATAAACACAAATACACTTTTACAGATGAATCCATAGATGGACCTATTCAAAAATACAATTTGATAATTGTAAGAAAAGATTTTTAGAAGTCATAAATGACATTATTTTTTTAATATTTATTATAAAGTTTAAGACTTCACATATCTACTGTCTCCTAAATGTCAGGAACAAGACAGGATACCAGGTCTCACCATTACTGTCCAACATTGTATGTGAGGTCTTAGCCAGTCCAGTAAAACAAAACAAAACAAAAAACAATTAAAGGTGTACATGTTGGAAGCAAATGGATGACGCTGGATGGATATCAGTATTTGCGGATATTATAACCCTATGCCTTGAATATTCAAGAGAATAAACTGAAAAGTTATTAGAACTAATTAAGGAGTCCTACAAATTGCATATATGCAAAGTCAACATGTAAAAGTCAGTAGTATTTCTACATATCAGCAATGATCAGCTAACACATATGACACAAAATGGTACTCACAAAGAAAACTATATAGTAACCAGAAATAAAGATGGCTAAAAATATGCAAGACGTGTATTAAGAAAACTATAAAATTTTACTAAAGGCATAAAAGCTGTAAATAAATTCTGTATGATCATAATCCATATCCTAATGAGATTTTTCACAAATTCTGGAAAGATTTTGTTTAATCATCTAGAAGAGAAACTATTCAAAAATAGTCAAGAAATTTTTGAAAAACTCTCTGTGCTAGAAATAAAGATAATATAAAACTATAATAATTAAAAGTGCAGGAATGTATGTACACAGTAGAAGCGCATTCATGTATATACCCAAAAAAACCACGTACAACAATGTTTGTAGCAGCAGTATTCTGTGGATCAGTTTGGGGACTAGCGCCTTTTAACAATATTAAATCTTCTGATCCATGAACGTGTATCTCTCCATTTATTTAGATCTTCTTTAACTTTTTTCAACAATGTTCTATAGTTTTCAGTGTACATGTCTTGTAGTTATTTTGTTAAAATAACTTACCTCATATATAACTTCTAATAGTTTTTTGGTGATTTTTTTAGGGTTTTCTGTATACTGTAAGAGATTATGTCATCTGAAAATAGAGATAGTTTTACTTCTCCCTTTCCAATCTGGATGCCTGCTATTTCCTTTTCTTACCTAATTATGCTGCCTGGAACTGCCAGTGCTATGTTGAACAGAAGATCCTTGTCTTGTTTCTAATTTTAGGGAGGAAGCATCCAGTCTTTTACCATTAAGTATAATGGTAACTGTGGATTTTTCATCTTTGCCCTTTATCAGGTTGAGGAATTACTCTTTTATTCCTAGTTTGTTGCTTATTTTTATCATAAAAGATTGTGTCACATATATATGGAATCTAAAAAAAAAAATGGTTCTGAAGACAGGAATAAAGAGGCAGACATAGAGAATGGACTTGAGGACACAGGGACGGGGAAGGGTAAGCTGGTACGAAGTGAGAGAGTGGCATGGACGTGTATACACTACCAAATATAAAATAGATAGCTAGTGGGAAGCAGCCGCATAGCGCAGGGAGATCAGCTCCGTGCTTTGTGTCCACCTAGAGGGGTGGGATAAGGAGAGTGGGAGGGAGACGCAAGAGGGAGGAGATATGGGGATATATGTATAGCTGATTCACTTTGTTATACAGCAGCAACTAACACAACAACGTAAAGCAATTATACTCCAGTAAAGATGTTAAAAAAAAAAAAGATTGTGTCATTTGTCAAAAGCAATTAGTATATTGCATTAATTGATTTTTGGATTTTAAACCAACCTTTCATTCCTGGGATTAATCCCACTAGGTCACGGTATATAATTCATTTTATATGTTGTTGGAATAAGTTTGCTAGTATTTTGTTGAGGATTTTAGCATCCATATTTATAAGGGATATTGGTCTGTAGTTTTTTGTGATGTCTGTCTGGTTTTGGTATCAGGATAATATTGGCGCCATAAAATGATTTA